CATTAAGATCAGGAACAAGACAAGGTTGCCCACTCTCACCACTCTTATTCAACATAGTTTTGGAAGCTTTAGTCACAGCAATCAGAGAAGAAAAGGAAATGAAAGGAATCCAAATCAGAAAAGAAGTAAAGCTGTCACTGTTTGCAGATGACATGATACTATACATAGAGAATCCTAAAGATGCTACCAGAAAACTACTAGAGCTAATCAATGAATTTGGTAAAGTTGCAGGATACAAAGTTAATGCACAGAAATCTCTTGCATTCCTATACAATAATGATGAAAAATCAGAAAGTGAAATCAAGAAAACACTCCCGTTAACCATTGCAAGAAAAAGAATAAAATATCTAGGAATAAACTTACCTAAGGAGACAAAAGACCTGTGTGCAGAAGATTATGACACTGAGGAAAGAAATTAAAGATGATACAAATAGATGCAGATACCATGTTCTTGGATTGGAAGAATCAACATTGTGAAAATGACTCTACTACCCAAAGCAATCTACAGATTCAATGCAATCCCTGTCAAACTACCACTGGCATTTTTCACAGAAGTAGAACAAAAAATTTCACAATTTGTATGGAAACACAAAAGACCCCGAATAGCCAAGGCAATCTTGAGAATGAAAAACGGAGCTGGAGGAATCAGGCTCCCTTTCTTCAGACTATACTACAAAGCTACAGTAATCAAGGCAGTATGGTACTGGCACAAAAACAGAAATATAGATCAATGGAACAGGATAGAAACCCAAGAGATAAACCCACGCACATATGGTCACCTTATCTTTGATAAAGGTGGCAGGAATGTACAGTGGAGAAAGGACAGCCTCTTCAATAAGTGGTGCTGGGAAAACTGGACCGGTACATGTAAATGTATGAGATTAGATCACTCCCTAACACCACACACAAAAATAAGCTCAAAATGGATTAAAGACCTAAATGTAAGGCCGGAAACTATCAAACTTTTAGAGGAAAACATAGGCAGAACACTCTATGACATAAATCACAGCAAGATCCTTTCTGACCCACCTCCTAGAGAAAAGGAAATAAAAACAAAAATAAACAAATGGGACCTAATGAAACTTCAAAGCTTTTGCACAGCAAAGGAAACCATAAACAAGACCAAAAGACAACCCTCAGAATGGGAGAAAATATTTGCAAATGAAGCAACTGACAAAGGATTAATCTACAAAATTTACAAGCAACACATGATGCTCAATAGCAATAAAACAAACAATCCAATCCAAAAATGGGCAGAAAACCTAAATAGACATTTCTCCAAAGAAGATATGCAGACTGCCAACAAGCACATGAAAGAATGCTCAACATCATTAATCATTAGAGAAATGCAAATCAAAACTACAATGAGATATCATCTCACACCAGTCAGAATGGCCATCATCAAAAAATCTAGAAACAATAAATGCTGGAGAGGGTCTGGAGGTAAGAGAACACTGTTGCACTGCTGGTGGGAATGTGAATTGGCACAGCCACTATGGAGAACAGTATGGAGGTTACTTAAAAAACTTCAAATAGAATTGCCATATGACCCAGCAATCCCACTACTGGGCATATACCCTGAGAAAACCATAATTCAAAAAGAGTCATGTACCAGAATGTTCATTGCAGCTCTATTTACAATAGCCAGGAAATGGAAACAACCTAAGTGTCCATCATCGGGTGAATGGATAAAGAAGATGTGGCACATATATACAATGGAATATTGCTCAGCCATAAAAAGAAATGAAGTTGAGCTATTTGTAATGAGGTGGATGGACCTAGAGTCTGTCATACAGAGTGAAGTAAGTCAGAAAGAGAAAGACAAATACCGTGTACTAACACATATATATGGAATTTAAGAAAAAAGAATGTCATGAAGAACCTAGGGGTAAGACAGGAATAAAGACACAGACCTACTAGAGAACTGACTTGACAATATGGGGAGGGGGAAGGGTAAGCTGTGACAAAGCGAGCGAGTGGCGTGGACATATATACACTACCAAATGTAAAATAGATAGGTAGTGGGAAGCAGCCGCATAGCACAGGGAGATCAGTTAGGTGCTTTGTGACCACCTAGAAGGGTGGGATAGGGAGGGTGGGAGGGAGGGAGACGCAAGAGTGAAGAGATATGGGAACATATATATATGTAAAACTGATTCACTTTGTTATAAAGCAGAAAATAACACACCATTGTAAAGCAATTATACTCCAATAAAGATGTAAAAAAAACCAAAAAAGACATACTGATATTTTACATAATTCACCATAGTCCAGGTGACCACATACAAAGCAAGCAGCAAGTCACTATGAGAACCTACAGAGCTTGGAAAGAACACTATTCTTTTAAAAGGTTATGTTGCTAGTGTTAGAAGAAAGAAAATAGATCTTTAAGGTTGAGCAGGTACTCCCATCTTTGAGGAGCTGAGGTTAAGATGTAATGCAGATGCACACTGCACATTAGGAAAGGAGCAGGACCAAACAAACACAGAGAGAGGATTTTATGTGTAATTTTTTCTTGTCTTGCCTTAAAATATAAATTTTATTTCATCACTGTTATACTTTCTGATAAGATCCCACACATTAGAGTTTTTTTAAACATCACCCTGAAAAGCACACTGTTGTTTTTTTTTTTTTTTTTTTTTTTTTTTGCGGTACGTGGGCCTCTCACTGTTGTGGCCTCTCCCGTTGCGGAGCACAGGCTCCGGACGCGCAGGCTCAGCGGCCATGGCTCACGGGCCTAGCTGCTCCGCGGCATGTGGGATCTTCCTGGACCGGGGCACGAACCCGCGTCCCCTGCATCGGCAGGCGGACTCTCAACCACTGCGCCACCAGGGAAGCCCACACTGTTTGTTTTGAGGCCGATGTTTCTCTTAGACCACATCCACAGACCTCATTATTATTATTATTTTTAAACATATTTATTGGGGTATACTTGCTTTACAATGGTGTGTTAGTTTCTGCTTTATAATAAAGTGAATCAGTTATACATATACATATGTTCCCATATCTCTTCCCTCTTGCGTCTCCCTCCCTCCCACCCTCCCTATCCCACCCCTCCAGGCAGTCACAAAACACCGAGGCGATATCCCTGTGCCATGCGGTTGCTTCCCACTAGCTATCTACCTTACGTTTCCTAGTGTATATATGTCCATGACTCTCCCTCGCCCTGTCACAGCTCACCCTTCCCCCTCCCCATATCCTCAAGTCTGTTCTCCAGTAGGTCTGTGTCTTTATTCCTCACGGACCTCATTATTGCATGTGGTAAGTTTACCAAGGTGAACCTTGTTAAAATACCAGTTCTTTTAAAACTCTATTTGGCAGCAAAGACTCCAAGGAGACCATTAAAGTAACACTCTGGGGTATTTCAGGAATGTTCTTGGTATCGTTGGCCTCAGCTGGACAGGCCTAGCAGGGTAGCCCAAGGCAAAACTTGTTTAAGGCCAAGCTTATCTTTGGCTTCCTCTTACACTGTCTTGAGAAGGTCTGCCAGGCTCTTTGACCTTAGGCAGGGCACTGGCTTCCTCATTCATAAACAGGGGATAACGATAATACTGCTTTTTATCTAACTCAAAGAATTTTTCATTCATTGTATTAGCTACCTATCCCTGCAGCAACAAATTATATCAAAACTTAGTGGCTTAAAACAATAAACATTTATTATCTCCTGGCTTCTGTTGGTCAGGAATTTAGGCTGAGCTTAGCTGGGTGCCTCCGACTTTGGGTGTCTCATGAGGTTGTTATCAAGCTGTAGCCCAAGGCTACAGTAATCTCAAGCCTCAAGTGGGTCAACATACAGATGGCTGACAGGCTGACAGGCACATGAAAAAATGCTCAACATTGCTAATTATTAGAGAAATGCAAATCAAAACTACAGTGACGTATCACCTCACTCTGATCAGAATGACCATCATTAAAAGGTCTACAAATAGGGCTTCCCTGGTGGCGCAGTGGTTGAGAGTCCGCCTGCCGATGCAGGGGACACGGGTTCGTGTCCCGGTCCGGGAAGATCCCACATGCCGAGGAGCGACTGGGCCCGTGAGCCATGGCCGCCGAGCCTGCGCGTCCGGAGCCTGTGCTCTGTAACGGGAGAGGCCACAGCAGTGAGAGGCCCGCAAACCGTCAAAAAAAAAAAAAAAAAAAAAAAAGTCTAGAAATAATAAATGCTGGGGAGGGTGTGGAGAAAAAGGAACCCTCCTACACTGTTGGTGTGAATGTAAATTGGTACAACCACTATGGAGAACAGTATGGAGGTTCCTTAAAAAAACTAAAAAGAGTTACCATGTCATTCTGCAATCCCACTCCTGGGCATATATCAAGAGAAAACTATAATTTGAAAAGGTACATGTACCCCAATGTTCATAGCAGTACTATTTACAATAGGCAAGACATGGAAGCAACCTAAATGTCCATCAACAGATGAATGGTTAAAAAGGATGTGATATATATATATATATATATATATATATATAATGGAATATTACTCAGCCATAAAAAGAATGAAATAATGCCATTTGCAGCAACATGGATGGACTTAGATATTATCATACTAATTGAAGTAAGACAGAGAAAGACAAATATCATATGATATAACTTATATGTGGAATCTAAAAAAAAGATACAAATGAACTTATTTACAAAATGGAAATAGACTTAGAAAACAAACTTATGCTTAACAAAGGGGAAAACGGGGGAGGGATAAATTAGGAGTTTGGGATTAACATATATAAATATTATATATAAAATAGATAAACAGCAAGAACCTATTGTAAAGCACAAGGAACTATATTCAGTATCTTATAATATTATAATGGAAAATAGTCTGAAAAAGAATATATATATAACTGAATCCCTTTGCTGTACACCAGAAACTAACACAACATTGTAAATCAACTGTACTTCAATTAAAAAAAAAAAAGTATCCAAAACTGCTGTTCCTGGTGCTGCATTGGTGAAGTTTCACAGCTGAACTTCTGCACACCCTGAGAGCTGCATATGAACACCTCGGCTCTACACATCAGGAAAGGGACCCTTGGGTGCCCGTGTCTGCAGGGCTGGGAGGCAGACCAGGGTTGTCCCCATGCATGGTTATTCATCCACATAGTGCTGCTCTCAGTGGATGGGTATCTGCAAACAGGAGCACAGGTGAGATGTTATTTTGAGCGGAGATGAGCAGGGAGACTTGCCAGTGTCCCTTAGTATTGATCTTCTGCTCTCAGATGGTCTCTGTTTCCCAAGAAAGGAGATTAGAGGAAATGGGCAGCAGGGTGTTTACAGTTCACACCTTACTTTTTGACTCAAGGGACCTAGTGGGTATTATCGCTGTTCAGCTGTTTTCTGCTACTGTTCACAGAAAAAGATAGAAGAGAAATCCCTTGGTGAGAAGGGTGATCACACTACTTGATCTGCTATACAATTGTACATCGTTAAAATACAAGACATTCTCATAGGACAAGAAGGTTTGACTTTATCAAATAATTTGGCCTCTCAGCCACTGGCTCCTTTCTTTTGAAATAATAGTAACTGTGTGCCAGGCACCTTTCTAAACTCTTTTTAGGAATTAATTAATTAAATCTCAGATAAATGCCTAGTGGTGGAACTTCTGGATTACAGGGTAGATATATGTTTAACTTTAAAAAAAACTGCCAATCAGTTTTGCAGACTGGTTATGCTGTTTTACATTCCTACCAGAGAGTCCTGGTTACTATCTTTTTCACTTTATCAATTTTATCATGTATGTAGTGGTATTTCATCATGGTTTTAATTTCACTGAAGACTAATGTATTTTTAATGTGCTTATTGATTATTTGTGTGTAATTCATTTAAAAATCTTTCTTATAATTAAATAAAAAGTAATTTAAGACTGAATTTTCCTGAGTGTAAGTTTAGTCATATCCCAAAGGGTTTGAAAAGAAGGGTTCTACATTTTTTAGTTCTAAATAATTCTGTCATTTTATTTCTAATAATTGCTAAAAAGTCCTAAGTAATAAAGGATCATTTACAGATTACCTCAGTGGCTATTACTTTTTTGCTTGCCTATCTCTTAATTATTTTCTTCTGAATTTATGACAGTGTAGTCAATGAACATGACCTGTAAAATACTAACTTTTTAAGAAAAAGCATACAGTTATTGCCAAGTACATGCTCATAGTTTTTTCAAGCTCTATGGGCATAAAGAATATATTCTTTCTTTTAGTGTACATGGTTTCTTTCTATATATCTATTAAATCAAGATTGATAATTATGTTGTCAAAATAATTTATGTACTTATTCCTTTTTTGTCTGTTTAATTAAAAAAAATTGGAGAGGTGTTTTAGACTCTCTCATTATGCTTTTCTTTTATCATTGAATTATCTTTGCATTTTTAAGAGCTTTGCTCTTAGCTATTGTTTAGTATATAATTTTTCATGCCTTTTATAACTTGTTCAAAGAGTGTCCTTTTGTCACTTAGAATATTCTTCTTTGAACTATTTAAAAATTTGACCTAACATTCTATCTTTAATCTTAAATATTTCTACCTCTGCTTCTTTTTTTTATTGAAGTATAGTTGATTTACAATACTGTGTTAGTTTTAAGTGTACTACCTCTGTTTCTTTTTGTTTGCTTTTATCTGATATCCATTTGCTCATCTAATATTTTCCAACTTCACTGTGTCATTTTGTTTTAGCTTAATTTCTTTAAGACAACATATAATTGGACTTTTGTTTTTCAAACGCATTCTAAGGATCTTTGTCTTTCTATAGCAGAATTCAACCTTTTGACATTTATTTGGGATTCAAGATGTTTGGTCTTATTCCTGCCATTTAATAATTTTATATTGATACTTTCTATTACACTTTCTATTTGTTTCCTCATTTCCACTTTACTTATTGGGTTGGCCAAAAAATTCATTTGGGTTTTTCCATAACATCTTACTGAAAAACCTGAATGACCTTTTTGGCCAACCCAATATATTTGTTAAATTAATGAAATTTTCTTTTTCATTTTTTTCTATCCAATGAATTGGAAGTTCTAATATGAATTTATATTCTACTAGTGTTTACATTTAAACATTTAATATACATATTTAAACTTACATTTTCTAACAATTACAAAAATGAAGTAATGACCATGTCCCTTTGAAATGCCTCTTATATTTCAAGAATCCATTAACCCTTGCATTGCAGTTTAATTTACTTAGACTTAATTATTAATAAGTGTTTATTCAGTTGAATTGTAGGAGAACCTTTTCGTCTCTTTGCTCATTGACTTGAGGACAGGGACTATTAAAAAAAACAATTCCCTATATTCCCCCAGAACCTTCCACCTGGTAGGGAATTCACACTGGTAGTGTGCTGTAGGAGACATAGAGTTGGCCTTGAAGTTTAACTTGTGTTTGTTCCAACTCTGCCACTTGTCAGTTACAAGTAAACCACTAACATCATTGACCCTCAGCTTCTTCAACCCTAAGATGGGAATAACTTGGCAGGCTAGTTATCAAGGTCAAGAGGATCAAATCTACAGAAATTCTGAGAACCGTAGAGCAAAATTGCTGGATGAACAAATGGATGCATACAAATTGAAGAAAAACAGAGTCAAAGCCTACAGACTCTGAAATGTATCCTGGACATGAAGACTGTTCCATGGAGCATTTGCTGCCTTTGCTTTTTAGCTGAAAGTGTTTTCAGTGAGCTCAGCCAAGAGGTGGCTGCAGAATGTAGCTGGAGGTGTTGGCGAGAGTGTGGGGCTTTATGATCTCCCAAGTCCACATGTACAGCCAGATGGGCCCCTGTGTGAGACTCAATCTGCTCACCATGCTGGGTGCCAGCCTGTGCTGTCCTGCTATTTACCAGGAGTCAACCTGGCAGAGAGCATTGGAATGGTGACCTGGAGGCTTGGCAAGGGCGTGCTGGATTTCCAATGAGTTTGTTTGTTCAGTCACATTGGTTTCTGGTCCCCTGTGACCTGAGGAGACCTGGTGCTCATCTTTCTCCCCTCCCCACCATTTGTTTGCCTGAACCCTTGGCTCCCTTTTTAAAGCTACTTTAAAATTTTTAAGATTTTCCTTTATTAAAAAGCACTCTGTGTGTGTGTAATTTATAAAATCTGGGAGCTTAGCACACAAAATGGCCCAGCTCGATGTTTATTTGCTTTCTATTTTTCACAAGGATGAGAGAAATTGCTATGGCAGGGAAGAGACGGCCAGTTGACCTCTCCTGGCTTTCTGCTAGTGTTGCTTGTCAACTCCAGTATCTCTGAACACTGAGGGCCTGAGTGACATTGAGCTAAATTTGCTCTTAACTGTGCTTCATGCAAGGGTCCCCTATACTCATGCTGAGCTTGGTACCAAGGGGTGATACATCATTTGAACTGAGGACTCCCCCTCCCTTGAGTTAACTTTTTGTTTTGGATTATCAGAAAAGTTGTAGAGAATTCTTAAATACCCTTCACCCAACTTCCTTTAATATTAACATCTTTTGGCCTAATACTATATACAAAACTATAGACTTCAGAATTCACCAGGTTTTTCACTAATGCCCTTTTTCTATTCCAAGATCTAATCCAGGATCCCACATTGCATTCAGTTATCACAGGCCCTTAGCCTGCTCCCATCTGTGATAGTTATCTCAGTCTTTTCTTCTTTTTCGATCTTGAAAGTTTTGAAGAGTACTCCATTTTAATTTAGCAAAATACAAGTTCTCTTGCATTTGAAAAGGAGGAAGAACAATTTATTATTTTCTGCCTTCTCAGTGGAAATCTGCTCTCATCTAAGCCATTTTTCTGGTAGTGTCATCAATATTCTCAGGAGATTATTCAGAAGGCAGTTGGGGAAATGAGTTTTCGTCCCTATACAGAAGTTTGGCTGAGCAGTACTTAATTTATTATCTCCATGACGCTGACTTAGTATGTGAACAGGGAATACATGGAGTTGACAGGTTAATAATGTCCCTGGATTTGTTATATATGGTTGTGCCCACTCTCAGGTGGGAGAGTCCTGGTTCTGCCACTAATCTGTGGTGAGATTTGGGCTAATTCACTATCTTTAGTTTCCTTGTTTGTGAAAAAAAAAAGGGGTTGTGGATTAGATAATTCTAAGTTTCCTTCGAAGTCTAGCAAATGATGATTCTTATTAACTATGTTGCACCCAAGATAACTTGCCTCAGCCCTCACCAGAGGACTTCTTTTCTTTCTTTCTTTTTTTTTTAAATAAATTTATTTATTTATTGGCTGCATTGGGTCTTCGTTGCTGCGCACAGGCTTTCACTAGTTGAGGCAAGTGGGGGTTACTCTTTATGGCAGTGCACGGACTTCTTACTGCGGTGGCTTCTCTTGTCATGGAGCACAGGCTCTAGGCACGCGGGCTCAATAGTTGTGGCTTGCGGGCTCTAGAGCACAGGCTCAGTAGTTGTGGTGCACCGGCATGCGCTCTGCGGCACGTGGGATCTTTCTGGACCAAGGCTTGAACCTGTGTCCCCTGCATTGGCAGGCAGATTCTTAACCACTGCACCACCAGGGAAGTCCCTTATTCTTTTCTTTGAGTGCCACCATGTGAAAACTTTAGGGAACATCATGATAGTGGAGAGTGTTCTTTTGGCCACCTGACATCCATTTCCAATTCCTAACAGCACCCCAATATCTTTTTGGGCAATTACCTCTTCCCTGGGGATATTAGTCTGATGGGGTCCTGTCCTTCTGTAAACACAGGGACATGTGACCCAAACCAGGCCATCCAGATGTTCCTTTCCTGGAATTTGAATCTTGAGCAAATAGGAAAAGACTGCCAATGTCTGGTGTTGCCCACTCCAGTTGGCATCTGGATGTGGCCACTCATGCAGCAGGACCTTCCTATACTTCTTGCTTCTAGGAGCTGTCTATGCCCTAGTAGTGTCCAGGCCTGGGTCCCAGCCTTCCAGTTGATTCTGAGAGCCCCTGACCTCCTTCAGTATAATCCCTTTTTTCTTACACTAGACAATATCAGTTTCTATTATTTGCAACCATAGATCTGTAAATATTGAGAAAATTTCTACTAAACTTCTGAAATGTGAACTTGTGGAGAGAATATTTGCCTTAGTTTCAGATAATTCCAGAGTTCTGGGAAATATGGGTCATGCCACCTTGTGATATTAAGGCTCTGGAATGAAACACATCTAAGCCAAATTGAATGTGATGTCTGGAGTCACCTTTGGTTATTCCTGTCCTTGGATAACTTTCTAACTCTTCTTAAGCCTCAGTTTTTTGTTTTTATGTTTTTGTCAATTACATGGGGATAATAATAATACCAGCCACACTGAATGGTTGTAAAGATTTAAAAAAATATTCATAGTAAGTTCTCAATAAACACTGAATCCGATTGTGATTGCAATCATGGAAACTTGGATTGTTGGTGATGCTGTGTCAGGTCTCATCTGTCTCTAGAGGCCCAAAATCACTAGGAACAGAGACTGAGAACAACAACAGCAGCAGCAGCAGTGCACACTAATATAAGCACTTACTATGTTTCAGCTACTGTCCCTATTAACTCATGTAATCCTTATAACATAGGGTACTATTATTACCACCACTTTATAAATGAGGAATTGAGGCATAGAGCAGTTAAATAACTTTCTAAGGCCTCCAGAAGCACTTTACCTGCTCTGATGTTTTCTGACCTGGAGAAGGCAGGGCAGACAGGCTGACACCGTACAATACATGCAGTGCAGAACTCTATGCTTTCTCTGCATCCCTCTCCTGGTCTCAGGGAAGGCATTGCCACTGCAGTCGGGGAGGGAGGCAGCTTCATCTGTAGGTATGACTCATAGCCTGTGCTCCTGGATTTGTTCTTGAAGTGAGATCTTACTGTATTTATTGCAAACAGACAGGCAGCTCTGTTTCCTGTTGGTTCAATTTCATTCCCACTAAGTTACCGAACTTCAAGGTTGGGGAGGGCGAGCAGGAAGGGAGGTTAAACAGGGTTACAAGAGGACTGACTTCAGCAAGTAATGACTTTTCTGGTAGTCTTCCCCACTTAGTACAGATGTCTTGATAGGATGTGAAGATGGGCTTCATTGCTCTGCCCAAGTTGCAGCTTGGAAGGTTGTAGCTCCTCTTGGGAAGCTGGCCCAGGGACCAGACATCTGCTGCTGAGGCCAGAGGGGAGACTGGCTAGTGTTCTGGCCACACACCTGCACAGCTGAGAGAAAGATGGAGCAAAGCCATGGGGTGTAAATGGAGGCTGTAACAAGGAGTTCAGTCAAAGAGCCAGAGGGGCTTCCCTTCAGTGAGTTCTTCACTGGTGACACATATAGAGAGCCAGGAAGGAGTGACCACACACTGAGAGCCTGCTGTGGGGAGACACAGCAACAGACCCATCCAATACCTACCTCACTTAATCACCAAGCCAACCCCCCAATGCAATTGTATTATCCTACCTTACAGACAGGAAACTGAAACTGTAGATCTAGGATTCAAGATCTGCTTGACTCTAGGGTCATTCCAGAAATCTCTTTCCTTTGGGCCTTTCTGCTAAGATTTCCATCTCTGACCACCATTTAAATGAAATACAAGAATGCAGATAATTTATAAAATCCCAGATAAAATAGATGTGAATGCCTTTGTTTTGGCTGTGGTTGTTGAAGAGGAGGTGACAATTGATGTGAGGGGTTTTTGTCTAATGCATGAAATGCTTATGCTGGAGAAGTTGAAGCAGGTTGGAGGGCTTTAGAAACCATTGGGTCAGTGGTCTTCCACTGGTGGTGGTTTTGGTAATGTCTACAAACATTTTTGGTTGTCATCACAGGAATGGTGGGGCTGCTAGCCTCTAGTGGGTAGAGGCCAGGGATGCCACTGAGTGTCTTGCAAGCTACAGGACAGCCACCACATCACAGAATCATCTGACCTAAAGTGTCAGTGATGCCAAGACTGAGAAAGCCTGATCTTGGTATCCTGTATTTACAAGGTGTGTAAACAGGGTTCCAAGAGGTGAGGTGCCCTGCCCCAGGAAGCACAGCTTTTGTGAGGCAGACATGAGACCAGAACCCAGGTTTGCTGCCCGCAAAGTGAGTGATATTTACACTGTGCTGCATGGCCTCAGTCAAGGGGTACAGGAATGGGTTTTGGATGGAAAGGAGGGGTCCCGTGCAACTCAGCTTAAATTGTCCAGGCCAGGTAAGGGCCTGCACAGGTCTCTCTCTTTGAGGAAGAGATGCTTCTAGTCTGCTGATTTATCCATGGGGTCCAGGACCCTGGGAGGAAGGGCACTATGGGGTGTCCTTGGAACCAGCACAAGCTGGGTGCTACTGAAGGAGATTGGTAGGAAGTCCCGAGATGCCACTTCCCCCGCTGCCCTCTAGTGACCTGCATGCCCACCCAATGGGAAACATGGGAACAATTGTAGCCCCTGACTCCTGAATAGCTCTCTTTTTTTTTCTTTTTTGGCCATACCATGTGGCATGTGGGATCTTACTTCCCCAACCAGGGGTCGAACCCTCGCCCCCTACATTGGAAGCGCAGAGTGTTAACCACTGGACCACCAGGGAAGTCCCCTGAATATCTCTTGATAGTTTAGAAAGAGCTTCTTAATGTGCTGTCTTTTCATTGACTGTGTGATCCCCACAACAGCTTCATGAGGTAGGCTGAGCAGGCATGATAGTCCCATTTTAGAGACAGTGGA